CCCGTCCCCCAAGCCCCCCGGCTGCCCCTCCTGCCTCCCCTGGGCTCTGGCCTGGCCTTTCTGTGCCCTCGCTCCCCAGTGGTCCCACTGTTTGAATTGCCTTTGGGCACTTGCCGCATCTCTCTTTTATCGCATCTCTCTTTTATCGACTTCTCTATTTCCATAATAAAAAGATGAAAAAAGTCCCATCCCTGTGCCTGTCACCATACCCTAACATTCACCGCAGCTCTGTTCATGAAGCCCCAAACTGGAAACAACCTAGCTGTCCTCCAGTGGGCGAACGGTTAGGCAGACTCGCACCCACACGTGGACGAGGGATGGGCCGTGGGCACACACAGCTTGCGGGGAAGGAGGCTCAGGGGCATGCTGAGTGGGCAGAGATCGCATACTTTGATTCCATGTGTATACGTTTCTAGAGGTGACAAATGATATAAGCGGAGAGATTAGTGGTTGCTTGGGGCCGCTGACAGATTAATGGCGTGGGGGTGGCTATAAAGGGGCAACCCTGGGGGGTCCTGTGGGGTGGAACGTTCTATATCTTGACTGAGTCGGTGTCAGTCCCTCATTATGACTTTGACTGTGGTAACGTCTTGAGAACTGGATAAAGGGTATATGAGATGTCTCTTTCTCTCAGAACTGCGTGTGTATCTCAAAATAAATTCTTAATTTAAAACCATTTTTAAAGAAGGATTCAATCACAGGTTTTTCTGTTTTACAGATGCCCTGAAAGTTGGAGTGATTACTGAGCCTAAGATTCTTCCAGCTCTGAAATTCAGCTGCTGACATGTTGTTTCGAAAACTTACATCTGCTAAAATCTGTTCCAAGTAGGTGCTTCAGCGTTTGGAGCGGCCGCGGCCTGAGGACCGGTCTGAAGCTGGCCTCTGCAGGGGGCCCTGGCACCCTCCCCAGACGTGCAGTGGCTGTGGCATCGGAGGGGAGGCCGCCCAGGCTCCTGCCGCCACCAGCTGCCTCCCTGTCAGCTTTACGGGCAGACCCGCTAAGGTTGTGTGGATCACACAGTTCCTGCCTCAGTAGAAGAGTCCAGAAAAGGGAAGCATTTCTTCAGGTAAGCGCATGACTCAGATAGAGGTCGGCATGGTGCTGGAACTTATTTGCAGAGGAGGGCAGTGCTTCTCTGTGGTTAATTCTGGAGCACGAATGTCCAAGAAACGGGCAGGAATTGGTTTTAGCCCAATACAAAGAAGTCGGGTTTGTTTGTTTTTTTCCTTTAAAAACTGGGCACTTTCCAAGACAAAATGAAATAAAAATAAGATTTTTCCCTCAGGAAATAAAAATAGTCTTGGTGTGATTGAAATGCGTGGTGTTAGAGATCAGCTTCCTGAGACCCGGCCCTTCCTGGGGTCAGCGAGGAGGCACCCGCCGCAGGGCACCGCGTCTCTCAAAGCCGCCAGTTCCGCGGAGGACCTCGCCCTCCACCGCCCAGGAAACGTTGAAGGAAAACCAGAGGGACGAGGAAGGCAGAGCTCAGGCCGCTGCGGGGTGCTCTTCTTGGTGGCCGAGACCGCCTGTGTGACAGGGAAGCCGTGCCCGCAGGAAGCGCCTCAAGACTCCTCTCCTTTAAGGTGCACGGTTGAGACTGTAGAACGGGGAACGTGTCAGCGCTCCTGCAGGACTCCATGCTGGGCAGACCCTCATCCTCTGGGCGATGGGAGTCCTGGGCCGGCAGCACCGACGCGCCCTCACGCCCCCCTCTACTCTCAGGCCGAAGCCAGTGCCGGTTTCTCGCCTTGTGGTTTCAAACGCAGAACGAGCCGCCAGCGGTCTCTGAGCCAGTTTCTGCACGCGGCCCTTCACGGTGGGTGTCTGGGCCAGGCCACACATGAGACCGCCTCGCGGCTGTGGGGGACCCTGTGCCATGGCCACCGCAAGGCATGGCCCGCTGTCTGCGGGGGAAGCGAGAAAGGGGCAAGGCTCAGAGCCCTCGGGCCGACTGACACCGTCACGTTACGCCCCGTGACTCTGATAGAACAGCCTGTGAGGAAGGAAAGAGCTTATGGTGCAGGAAGTAGGTGAATGAGCTAGTGGATGACACCTTGAGACATGCAGGGCTGGATCTGAAGTCCAAGGATGAGGGGCCGGTCTGAGGAGGTCCCAGAGAGCGGTGACGGCCGTTTGCGGAGGAGGGAGCCAGGCCAGCACAGCAGCTCTGGAGGTCAGAAGGAAGCAGAATATCTGTGAGCCGTTCGGAGGAAAAGGCAAATCCAAGTAGCCCGTATTTAGTCAAAAGGAAGGAAATCATGCCCAAAAAAGTAAAAAGCAAAGGGAAGAAACCAAAAGGAAGAAGAGGGAGTTAATTAAGAGAAAAGCTTAATTAATTAACTAATTAATTAAATCAGAAAGTATAAAATTGGTAAGACGGGGCGCCCGGCTGGCCCGAGCGTGCGACGCTGCATCTCAGGGTCGTGAGTTGGAGCCATGTGTTGGGTGTAGAGATTACTTAAAAATAAAGTAAATTAAAAAAAAAAATAAAGTCAGTGTCTCAATTAAAACAATAAAATCAGAAAGACCAAACACCAGTTCTTGAAAAACAAACAATGAAATAAACTCCTGACGAGGTAGAGGCAAACCAGTGAAGTGAGACAACACTCAAGCTTAATGAGAAGCGCAGATGTTCTGCGTCCACACTGGCACCACGGTCGTAAATGGGAAAACCTCAAGAAATCGATGCCTTATGCAAACACACCTGAGAAGAAACAGAAAATCGGAGCAGGTGGTGAGCAGCAGGGACGCAGCAGGCTGCAAAGTTCCCGCCACGCGGGCACCGGGCTGGCAGCTTCCTGCCACGCACGGGTGTGTGCTCCCAGCCTGCGTGAGCCCCCGGCCCCAGCTGGGCCTTGAGACAGTGCAGCCCCTGCCTTGTTCCAACTGTGACCGCCAGGGACCCTCACACAGGGCCACTGGGCCAGGCTGCTTCAAGTGCCTGACCCCTGGCGACCAGGGCAGGATGTTTTTTCTGTTCTGAGCCACTGAGTTTGGGGCCGTGTGTTTGCCAGCAGCAGATAACCGGTGGTGAGGGCTTAAAGCCGTCCAGCAGAGCGAGGGCCGTGGGGAGAGGACCTGGTGTCCAGTGGGAAGTGACCACCGCCCCTGTGGCCTGTCGGGGGGCTCATGGAGGAGTGAACGGTGGCCCCGTCTCCTTTCTGCAGCTAAGATTCCTTTATAGTTTATTTGAACTTTTAAGATACCATTTGTGGTTTTCTTTTCTTTGTGAATATAAAGTGGAGTGTGTTCATGGTAGACTATTTAGCAAGTACAAAAAAGTTAAAATAGAAAATACAGTAAAACCTTGGATTGTAACTTGTTCTGCGAGTGTTCCACAAGATGAGCAAACATTTCTAATAAATTTTAACTTGATAAACGAACCATGTCTTGCAATACAGGTAGCACAGAACGCCGAACGTCACGTGATCACAACTGAGCCAATGGTTCTTCTCTCTCCCTCCCTCTGTCTCTCTCTCTCTCTCTCTGTGGGATTGTGGGTGATCGTCTTCCATGCTTGGATGTTTGGTCTCAGGCTGTGGTGTTTGGCAGATATCCGTGATTTTTCAGAATGTTACAAGGTGCCCTCAGCTGGCACTGGTGTATTTTTGTCACTTCAAAGCACCAATGGACAGTCCTTTGCTTTTCCAGACAAGAGTAAGCTTAGGAATGCTCTGCTTCATTCTAGGTCAGGCTGCCTGCAGATAGAGACCCTTTCCTCTGCTGCCTTATTGCCGGTTCCATTAAATACAGTCTATGACAAGAGTTTGTTAATACTGTGCTGTAATCAGCATCTGTGTGAACGTTTGCAATGGCCCCCATGCAGAGAAAGGTTGAAAAGAAAGGCAGGAAGAAGGAGATGATCACGGTGGAAGTCAAGAAGGAAATCGTCGAGAAGTACGAACGAGGGATGCGAGTGGCCGAAATTGCAAGATTTTATAAGAAGTCTACGTCAACCATTTGCACAATATTAAAGAAGAAAGAAGAAATAAGGGGGCTAGATGCAGCGAAAGGAGTCACGAGAATATCAAAGCAACGGCCACGTGTTCTGGAAGATGTAGAGAAGTTGCTTCTGGTTTGGATAAATGAGAAACGGCTGGCAGGTGACACCGTGACCGAGAACTTTATCTGCGAGAAGGCAAAGGCCTTGTACACCGACCTCGTAAGTAAACTGCCAGGTACATCAACAGAAAACGAAGAAGGCTTCAAAGCAAGCAGGGGATGGTTTGATAACTTTAAGAGGAGGAGTGGCATCCGTAGTGTTGTGAGGCACAGAGAGGCTGCGAGTTCGGATGCTAAGGCAGCCGAGGTGTTTGCTACCGAGTTCCAGAAGCTCATGGCTTCCGAGTGTTACCTGCCGGAGCAAGTTTTTAACTGCGATGAGACGGGGCTTTTTTGGAAAGAGATGCCAAAGAGGACGCACATTACGGAAGAAGAGAGTGCAGTGCCCGGTCACAGGCCCGTGAAAGACCGTCTCACCCTCTTGTTTTGCGCTAACGCGAGTGGGGATTTCAAAGTCAAGCCCCTGCTCGTGTATCATTCCGAGAACCCACGAGCCTTCAGGAAATGCAGGGTGCAGAAGAGCCAGTTAAACGTCATGTGGAGGTCCAACAGCAAGGCTTGGGTCACTCGTATCTTGTTTGTCGAGTGGGTCAACGAGGCCTTCGGTCCTGCAGTGAAGAAATACCTTTTAGAGAAGAATCTGCCGCTCAAAGCCTTGCTGGTGATGGATGATGCCCCTGCTCATCCTCCAGGCTTTGAGGACGACCTGCTGGAGGAATTCGAGTTCATTAAGGTCAAGTTCCTTCCTCCCAACACCACTCCAGTCCTCCAGCCCATGGATCAGCAGGTCATTTCAAACTTTAAACAGCTTTACACCAAAGCGCTATTTCAGCAATGCTTTGAGGTGACCAAAGGAACAAACCTTACCCTCCGAGAGTTTTGGAAAAATCATTTCCACATCGTGAACTGCCTCCAGATCATTGATAAAGCCTGGGATGGGGTCACCAAGAGAACCCTCAATTCTGCTTGGAGAAAACTGTGGCCCGATTGTGTCCTTGGACCTGACTTAGAGGGGCTTGCTCGTGAACAGCAGCCGCCAGTTGTCGGTGAAACGGTGTCCTTGGGGAAGACCAGGGGACTGGAGGTGAGTGAGGACGACAGTCGGGAGCTGGTGGAGGAGCATGGCCAGGAGCCGACCACCGACGAACTGATGGGTCTGCATCGCGAGCAGCAGCAAGAGGTTATGGGGGAGATCTCGTCTGCAGGGGAGAAAAAGGCCGAGGAATCCCTCACTTCAAGTGAGATTAGGGAGATGTGTGAAATGTGGGAAACAGTGCAGAAGTTTGTAGAAAAGCACCACCCGAATAAGGCTGTAGCAGTGCGAGCGATGAATCTGTTTAACGACAATGCGATGTCCCATTTCCGTGAAATCCTCAAACGGAGGCAAAAGCAAGTGTCATTGGATAGGTTCCCTGTTAAAGTTGCACGAAAAGAAAGAGATTCCACGGAGCCAATAGACAGCAGTGATTCCGTTAGTGATGGTGAAAGTCGTCCTACCCAATAACCCTCCTCTCTCTTGTCTCCCTCACACCAGCCACGAAGGTTTTCAAAGGTCAGGGCCGGTTAATTTGTTGATTTTCCTTTATATTTTGTACTTTCTTTATTGTTTTGTATTATATTTCATACGAACACTTTTGAGTGGTGGAATGAATCATCTGCGTTTCCATTATCTCTTATGGGGAAATTCACTTTGATATACAAGTGCTTTGGATCACAAGCATGTTTCCGGAACGAATTATGCTCGCAAACCAAGGCGTTCCTGTACAGAGAACTGGCAGGCACCCCCCTCTCCCCCCCCGCCCCCCACCAGGGCCCACATGTCCTTCGTGTCCGTGCCGTGTCCCGGGCTGACACCACCGGCTGTCCTGCGGCACACGCCGTAACATTGCTGCTCTCGGTTAGGTTCAACGCTAGGGCACATTGTGAGGACTTTGTTTCCCGTGACATTAGATGTTTTTGTAAAATGTCTTTTTTAAGTAGCCATTCATCGTTCATAGGACTTCTACCCCGTTGTTGGATATTAGGAGGCCCTCACGAGAGCAGGTGTGGGGCTGGAAAGCCCAGCTGAACTCTGGGGCCAGTGATTTCTGCCCCCTGCCCCCGGGCCATGCCGCAGCCTGCGCCCCATGGGAAAGGGTCCCCGAAGAGCCTCCTCTCGTGAGGGCCCCCAGCCAGGACTCTGGAGGGGCCGGTTCCTCCCTGAGCTGCAAATGCAGGCCTAGACCCCGCTCGGTCTTGACAATGTGCACATGGTCGTGAGTGTGCGGAAGGGCGCCGCTCCAGCCCAGAATCAGCACCCGCCATGGCGTCGGCCAGAGAGGCGCACAACAGCAGTTCTACCTGTACCCCTCGCGGTATCTCTGAAAAGTTACCTTCTTGTATTTCAAATTGGCAGTCTTAATTTTTAAAGAAAGGAACGGCCTGAAGTTAAACCAGTAAGTTAAACGTCGCTCCCACGGATACGGACAAAATAAAAGAGACACCAACAAACGTTGGCAAGGATGTGCGGAAATTGGGCCCCTCGTGCGCTGTGGTGGGAAGCAGTCCGGCCACCTGTCAGCCAGCGAACCAGCTCCGCTCAGCCCGGCAACTCTACTCTCAGAGAAATGACGGCACACCTCCACGTACAGCATCCATGCACAAACGTCCACGGCAGCCACAAGGTGGAAACAACCCAGATGCCCGTCCACAGAGGAGTGTGGTCCGGCTGTACCGTGGAATATTATTCATCCGTGAAAAGGAGTAAGTACCAGCAGTGCTACAACGTGAATGAGCCTTGAGAGCAGCGTGCTGGGTTGCAGGACCCAGAGGCAAAA